AGAAAAGTAAAGTGAAATTAAGCCCAAAACAAATGTTTAGACACCTCAGAAGTAGTCTTGGGTGTAAATGAAGAGCCCTTCTGAAGGATTGATGATGAACCTTTTCGAGTAGATTTTTGTTTTTTCTTAGGAGGCTTATCCTCCTCCCAATCCTCTTGGTCATATCGACCAACAAAGGGTTTCTTTGGAAGAGCTACAAAATTTCTCGAAATGTTAAAATCTAATAAAAATGCAAAAAGTATTTTGAGAAGAAAGCAGGGTAAACCTTACCATCTTTAAACTTTGTAAGGATTCTCACATCTTGAATATCAAGGTGAAGAGGGTAAGGATAAGTTAAAAAAAAAAACCTCGAAACTGTTATTCTACTTAGAGTAGGGGCTAATTCGTTCAAAAGAGTCGAAGGTAAATCGACCCATTTAGGTGAAATTATGGGTAAAGCCAGAGCAAAATTACAGTTTGAAATAGGTGGAAAAGTTGGTCGAAATTTTTTGAAAAGGATATCTTCTATGAACTGGTCAAAAGGATGAAAAACTGTATATTTATTTACTCTTTCTTTTGTTTTCTCTCTTAAAGAAAGAGCAGCTTCAAAAATGGTTTGAGATATTCTCTGTGGTAAGTAAAGAACTTTAAAAAATCGCTCAAAAGACTGAATTTCTCGAATATGCGTACCTCTCGTCTTGGCCTTTGGATCCCCTTTCTAAAACACAGAAAAAACAGAAGTCATCTTCTGGTTGCACGCTTCGACAGAAATTTCGTGCTGATTATAGTAACTGGACTACCAACTCTGGAAAGCATGAGTGCAATAGAACGATGGCTCGAATTCAACAAATGAAATCTCAGGCCTACGTTTCCAGAAAAAACTTATGGCCTCATTTAGATCCTTAATGCTATTTCGAGCATTTTCTAAGACTCCCTGGCTGGACTCATCCAACATAAACGCAGGCACTAATTGAATAAGGCCAAATTGTCGAGGTAAAAGGTTTGGTTGATAGGAAACCACCTGATATGGCCTCGGAGTGAAACTACAAAAAAGAAGTTGACGTGAAAGAAATTGTCTCCATGTCATTAAAACTTCAGATTGGGCACTTGGAGTTCTCGAAGGAAAAAGGCGTTTAAACCAAACTGGCCCTACTTTTCAAGCAGAAAAAAGGGCAAGTTGAGGAGTGAAATATTGAAGAGATAAGAAAAAGTTGAAATATTGCCAAAAAGCATTACAATAGTGTTTTTTGGCTACTGTTGTAGTAAAAAAAGTTAGACGAAAACCTTCAATCTCTCGAGAGACATTGGGTGGTTCAGAGCTTTGTAACTTCTCTTCGAAAATAGCATTCAGCCAAAGCTGAAGCAGCCAAAAGGGCCCTCTAATAACTGAAGGAAAATAATTAGATCTAAATGAAGCTACTGCTTCATTTAAGTTCTCATACGAGCTCCCTAAGATAAGCTTCCCAAGGCATATCGAAGACTCTTCGTGCAGTAATTGGGCCAAAGTAAGCACTTGAAGCGATCTCGAGCAAAAAACATAGGCAGAAAGCCAAAGCATTAGAAAAACAACGTGTTCTTCATCAGTAACAGGACCATCTCGATTCATATTCAAGGTTGTGAAGAGTTGATAAGAAAGTTTTTGAAAATTAGGGGTCACATCAGGATTTTTTGGATGAGAATCTGGTCGAAATGAAGGACCAGTTGATCTAAGTCCAAGAATGGCTGCAACATCGAAAAGAGTTAGGGTAATCATACCACAAGGCACTTGGAAAGAGCTAGTTGCTCGATCCCAAAAGTAAAGAGAACTCATAATCATAGGAAAGTTGTAAGATAGATTGTACCTAGACAATTGAATGACATCATAAATTCCTATAGCCCTCCAGCTATCTTGTTTTTCACTCTTAACTCTATCTAACCAAGGCAAATACAAGTCTTTGGTTATAGGAGGCATTGTTCGGAATATTTTTTAGGTATTCTCGAGAGAATCCAAGTTGTATTTTGAAGAGAATGCCAAGATGCCATCAGTAGAAGGAAACTCGATAGATTTTTGGGGTAAGAAAGGACCTAAAAATGCATGAGTTTTTGAGCCTAATGAAAAGGGAATAAGTACCTAGGATTTCCAAATAGCCAACTTCTCCTCCTCGAGAGGTGGCTCAGGAAGGTAGCTCGAATGACCCAAAGGCACGAGTTCAGCATTGGAGAAGGCAGAGGGAACCTTAGACTTGGAAGCCATTTCGACGAGAAATAGGGAAGAGGGAAAAGAACTGGAAGAGATTTCGACACAAAAGGGACGGAAGAGAAAGAACAGAGCTCTAGAGAGGAGAGTAAAAATGAAAGCGTAAAAATGAAAAGGTAACTTCGCCTTTTTACACTGATCCCCAACCTCGTGCAAGGCCCATACAAAAGCCCAAGTCTAGAGGATTTTGGCACTTAGTGGGAAGATGAAGAGATAGTGGGGTGTCTTTTCGATAAAAAATGGCCTCAAATTCCCAACAGAACGGAGCACGTCTCAGTAATGGGACATTTTTAGTAACTACCAGGCAGTACCTGCATTTAATGCACCGACTTTGGGCGACGTGCGTGACATAAAGTAGGTAAGTGGCAGAGACGCCATAAGAAATGGTGGGAAAAAAATTTAAAAGACGAAAATTTCCCAATTAAATATAAAAATTAAAATATTAAATCTCATGAACCTAATATATTAATATTTTAGGGGCCATCTGTTTGGGATAAGGAAAATTTTCTAAGTTAAAAAATCATATTGAAGCAAGCCACATTTCGACAAAATTTTGAGAGTCAAGAATGAGCCAAAAAATAAGTCTAAGAAGTATTGAAAAGTTATCCAAGATCTTTTGAGTCATATCAAAAAGGACACATTTCAAATTATTTTAGAGGTTTTTTGTCACCTCGTTGATTTTTCCTCTGAAACTGCTTGAAAAGCAGGACTGACAAGAAAATATTCAAAGTCCACAAAACTGAAGACTTTTTTCGAGAAATTTGGAGGAGTTTCCAAGTCCCTGACACCCAAAATTGCTCGAAAAATAGGAAGTGCTCAGAGAATATTCTGAGTCCACAAACCTGGTTGAGCTCTAAATTCCCTCCAGAATTGCTCAAAAAATAGGAATGAGCAAAGAAAATATTCTAAGTTCACAAGATCAAGACAAGCTCTCAAAACCCCAGAATTAGTCAAAAAGAAAAAGCAAGGAGAAATTATTCTAAGGCCATAACACTAAATAAGCCTCTTAAGATCCTTCAAAAACAACTCAAAAGATAGAAAAATTGACTTGAAAGGTCAAGTTCAAAAGCAGTTACCAATACTAGGCAAAGGTTCAACTATGCAAATAAAAAATCGTGGGTGATAGCGGTTACCAGCAGTTACCAATAGCACGATCACAAGTAATCGTGGATAATGGACATAACAATTGAAAGCAGTTACTAAGAAATGCCCGCAAAAGGAGAAGAACGGTGGTGATCTTCTTGCCTATAAATACCCCAAAGTGTCATTTTACGGAGGACGACTTTTTGCACCCAGACACCGCACCTAAAACTCTCTGCATGCTGAAACCCTGCACCACGCCAGACACCAGCTACAAGGAGACTCACAGTGGTTGCTGTCCGTTGTTGTGAGGAATCGTACGTTTACATTCACGCACCTTTACATTCCTACACATTTACCTTTCTGCATTTTAATTCCAGCTTGTTGTTTATTTCGTTTCTGCAATTTGTTTCTTATTTTGCACTTTTCTGTAAAGAACCTCTACGTTGTGATTTCGTTTTACGCGTTTCATATTCACTATTCCTATGTCTATTTTATTGTCTCGTTAGCAACACACTTAAAAGAACCCAAAAAAGACCTAATCTAATCTCCAAATTGATCTTTGAATTATTTGTTTACAAAATTGTCATTTTTCACCGTAAACAATATTTTAATTAGTCCCACAAATTAACATGAATATGTTTTTTTTCCCTAAATTAACCTAAAACTGTTGAAGTTTACATTTTATTTCATACTTTAAATCTACACACCAAGTTGTAGTTCACTTTTCAAAGTTCAAATTAATTTTTTTTTATCTTCAAAAATTTACTTTAACAATATTTTTGTAGTCACTTAAGTATTGGGTTGACAAATGATTAGTGTTATTTAATTTAATAATTAATGATGAAGGTGAATTTTAATTTTATAATAGCTAATTTATTAGATAAATTATTTAATTCAACTTATAATTATGAATATGCATATAATTGTAAATTATATTTTTAATTATGTAAAAGTACATTCTAAATCTAAACCACTTCCGTACCATAATTTTTAAGAAAAATAATTTAAGATTATTATTTTTAAATGATTCAAAATAATTTTTATAATTTTAATAATTAATAATCAATAGTAAAAGAGTTCTCCTATAACATAATTTTTTATATAAAAAAATGTAAGGCAGTCTTAAAGCATAACTTTTTAAATTAAAATAAATAGATTTGAAATAAAAAACAATTTATTCATTTAATAAATCTAACATAATAAATAAAATATAAAAATAAAATTTATTTATTTAATTATGTTTTATTTAGATGAAATGTAAAATGAGTAAAAAAAAGTAAAAAAGTAATATAATAAAAATATATAAAAAATAAGATAAAAATATGTATTATTTGAATGAATAAAATTTAAAAAATATAAATAAAATTTTAATTTACTGATTTAGATAAAAAAATTTATATAAAAAAATTCTTATAAGAATAAAAAATTTAAAAATATATTATAAAATACTTTTAATTAATAAATTGTAAATATTTTTATATTATTTTAAATTTAAATATAAAAAATATCATTATATATTTTTACATAAAATCTCACTATTTTAATGAAAAATTTTCTTAATAGACTCGAAAGGCAATAATTTATCGTTCATAAAACAAAAATATTCTAACTTTTAAATCCAAATTTTTTATCAAAACAATAAAAAGGTGCGTGCCACGTCACAACACGGTTATATAATACTAGGGTTTGCAGTATCCCTTTGACCTAAAAACTTTGTGCTCTACCCACTCTGCTACTCATTTGAGCTTCCTCTGCAAAATTTTCACTTTTCGTTCTTCTCTAATATTTGATAAGCATGGCAGTATCAAACCCAGAAGAAGAAGAGATCGAGTTCAAGTGGGGCAAGAAAAGAGGAATCGGTGGTAAAAAGAAGGACGTGCAGTTCTACGAGTCGTTCACCTACGACGGGGACGATTACACACTATACGACGTCGTTTATCTTCACGCTGAAGGCGTGGCTGAGCCTTACATTGGAAAACTGATAAAGATTTGGGAGAATCGTGATAAGTCGAAGAAAGTGAAGGTTCACTGGTTTTTTCGTCCCAGCGATATTCGACCCTTCGTGGAAGGTATCGAAATGATGGAGAACGAGTTGTTCTTGGCGTGCGGTGAAGGCACGGGCCTCGCCAATGTTAATCCTTTGGTATGTTTTGGATTGTCGTTTTACTATTATTGATTTGAGCGGTTACTGTAGTCAGTTTAGTAGTGTCGTTTATGTTTCGTGGTTATAGAGCGCTGCGTTTCATTTGCTTTTGTTCCATTCGGTCATAGGAAAATGGTTTTTGAACATTCAAAGTGGACGCTGTGTGTTTTTTGCGTGTATACAGAAAAAATAAGCGGGGGATTAACAATAATTGTATTTTAAATGATTTGAACAGTTGGAATTAGTGTGTGTTTGGTTTGGTTTGTTTTGAAGAAATAATTGCGTATTCTTTGCTGGGTTCATAAGACAGCTTTTGAAAAATATGAGGCTATTTCTTCAAAATGATCCTTTGCAAACATGCACTTAGAATGGTTTCATTCCATTGATTCAAACATTGTATAATAGCTCAAATCATGTCTTTGGGTTTGATTTGGTTTTATGGTTTGAAGTGTCCTTTTTGTATTGGTGTGTTGTGATTGATGTTTGGTGTTGAGTTTCATGATAGGAAGGTCTGGTTTGGAGATTAGTGTTGAAAGTATAGTGCTTTTGATTCTGTTTTATTTTGGTTGGGGGTAAAGGCAGTTTGGTTTTTACTTTGTTATATTAGTCTTGTTTAACTAGTGTTTGCTTTTAATTACTGATTCTTTGTTTGAGTAAGCTATTCAATTTCTCTTGCTTTGGAGCTGATTGACAGTGTCTGACTCTAATTGAATTTGCTCTTTATTTGTTTATTTTTTCTTTCACAACAGGAAGCTGTTGCTGGAAAATGCAATGTTGTTTGCATTTCTAAGGACAGCAGGAATCCACAACCATCAGATGAAGCACTTCAAATGGCTGATTATGTATTCTATCGTTTCTTTGATGTTGGGAATCGTAAAATTTTGGGTGAAATAGATGACATGATTGCTGGAATCCCAGGTCTATGATCTTATACCTCTTTAATATCATGCTGTAAAATTTCTCATAGTTATAGTTTTTAACTATTTTTGTATCACACTTGGCACCTGTCAGGTTAAGGGATTTCTCCCAGCCTTGGCATTTCCCCATAAAGTTTTTTAATCCCATATGTACTTTAAGAAATTATGTATAAAATTGGCTTTTATGGATAGAAGAAATAAATTACAAGAATGTCTCCATGACATTTTCTGCCATAGTTTTTTACACATTGTTGTAAAAATCACGCTTCAACATGTTTCAGCCTCTCCAGTGCGTCACGCACAAGTTTGACCTGTGAATCTGGTTGGAGCAGAGCTTTGTGCTAGAGTGTAGGATCATTGGAGTGGGCACATCCAAATGTGCTGGGTTGAGCTCCGTGTGGTTTGGGTCAAGCAACCCATTTCACTTGGAAAAGCCCATTTTTATATAGTGAACTCTAACCTGTGCTATCCAACCAGATGAAATTGTTTGACTTTCTCTGCCTCCATTCCTCTCATATTCATGACCCTCTGCCTTTATTTCCTCATGTCTGACACTTTCTACCTGTATTCCCTTCATTTTCAGCACTTTATACCTTTATTCACCTCACATTTGACACACTCTAAGCCTTTAGTTCTGCTCATTTTCATTGCTGGTTTCTGTGTTGCTGCAGGGCTGCACCTGCCTTCTTTTCCTTCTCCTTTCCTTTTCATTTATCTGTTTCTGTGTGCAGTTGGGGTGCTGTTTTTGCCAAAAACAGCAATTTTTTGGTGTTTGCTGTATACCTACTATGAGTACTTGTTGGGTCCATGCTCTATTCAGTTTTTGGGATTGCTGTTGCCTGTGTCTTCTGTTTTGTTGTTAGTAAAATGGAAAGTACTGGTGCTAACGGGTCAAGTGGCAGTGCTGGTGGGTCTGGTACTAGTTGGGTTGGTAGCAGTGGAAAAATGCTGAAGAATGCTCCTGACCCAAAGTCTTCAAACAGCAGGTCATCTTCATCAATCACCATAGGAGCTTTTCCCTTGAAATGAGGTTGAAATTTTCTCTTCTGATGACTGTTCGTAGATTGTCCTTCCAAACCCTTGGTCAAAGTGGGTCAGAATTATTTGTTAGCTTTGACCTATGCTGTTTTGAATCCATCTTTTTTATTCTTTGAGCCTTTCGCACTTGAGTTCTGGTCAAGTTTGGTGGTAACCCCTTGACCAAAGTTCCTCATATAAGTAGGATTCCTTGGCCCAAAGAGATTGCCAATTCCTTTCTGAATCACTTGCAAATTTTTATTAGTTAGGTACTTCCTAGTCTTGATCCATTTACAGGTGCCTTTTCAGGAGGCTCAAAGGTCCTCCTTTGGGTTCTTTGGTTGGCCTTTAACTTGGCTAGTTTTCTGCCAAGGCTTTTTTTGCTGCAGCTTGCAACACTTTTTTTTTGTAATGCTGCTTAATTTTTGAGTTTTGGAAGACTTTAGCAGCAGACTTATCAAACACTGCACTACATTTGGGACATAACATTACCTCATGTTCAATGTCCTTTTTTCTAGTCAAGAATTTGACCAATTAATCTTTAAAGATGGCTTGGGGTAAATCTCCCCAAATTCTTTTTTGAATTCTTCCACGGCCAAATTGAGGTCTTTTGTGGACCATTTTCTTGAAGAAGTCATTCTCTATTGTCATAGTAGAAGCATTTGTTTCGGCCTTGGTTGCAACACATACATCAGTTTTGGTTGAGTTGCCTATTTTGACCATTTTTTGATCTTATGGTTGATTATGAACTTCCACCATCAAGACATCATTTAGCTCCATGCTTAGTAGTCAATAACGGCACCTATCGTGGAGGTCCAGAGTGAAGTGGCTTGGTGTTGCTATTCCAGCGCAGTTGGGTTTCAGTGTAGCGGTTGTCGTGCTGCGAATTGTGGCAAAAAGTGGAGCAAATCGTGGCCCTAGTGGCCCCTATTTCATCCTAGGGCAAAAGGGAAAGTTTGCCCTCCCTTTACGAAGGTTGAAATGCTTTTTTAGGGGGGCAGTCTTGGGATTTTGTTCCCTTGTAAATGTCAAACAAGGGCAAAAGGACAAGTTTGCCCTTCTTTTCTAAAAGTTGGAATGCTTTTTAAGGGGGCAATATTGGGATTTTTCCCCCTTTTATATTTTTGGAAGTTGGAACCCTACCTCCATCTTTGTTCTTTTGTTTTCTTGCTTTATCTTCCATCTTTGGTGTCATTTTCTGGTGCAAGTCATCATTTTTGGCCAAGTTTTGATCGTCGTCTTCATCTATTGCTAAACCTAACTCATTTCTAACATGAGCAGAGACATTTTCTGATTGTCTTCTTCATCTCTAGTGTAAACCAAGCTATTTCCGATGAGATGTAGACTTTTTTCGATGAATGTGAGACATATTTTGATGAGACCATTTGCAATCGGAGATTTTTCCTGTGATTGAACACTCTTTGATCTATTTTCCTTCGCTGTTTCAATTTTCTTCAGAAGAGCAGTCATCTTGCGATTGTCTATCTTGCTATAGCGTTTTTGGGATTGGTCGCTCTGAGTCACTATCTGGGATTGACTACTATGAATCCACATAATTGGTGCCAATTTGAAGAGGAACAATGCCTATTTTCGTAGCAGTTCTTTCTTTTTTCTTAAACGTTAACCTTCCTTCTGTCATTGATTGCATTTTGTATCACTTCTACGAAACTACCAGCATAGCGATGATGGAGGCTTTTGTGGTTTTGTTTGTGTGGATACCCTGAGAGATATGGCTATGATTGTCAAGTTTGCCAAATTCAAGTAATCCTAAATTGAATTTGTGCGTAGTGCATGCCTGGAAAATGTTGTAATTGCATGGGCATTTTGCAACCTTTGTGTTCCGCCGTTACTAACGTGCTACAAATTCTAACAGAAAGGACTTGTGAGATACACCAAGAAAACAAAGGTAATGATCAAGAAGCAAAAGAAAAGGGAAAAAGGCTTGGGAGCCTCACTTTTGCTTAAGGTAAATGCATTATCTTAGCAAATTTTTCTGCTCATATTCTTGTTTGCTAAATTTCAACTATTTATAGACCTCGGTGCATTCACCGCCGATCAAGATTCAACAACAACCAACCCCTTCAGTGGTTGAGGGTGGTTTCCATCATTTTGAGTCGAACTTGTCTTACTCAATAGCTAATTCTTTCCGAAATGCGTTGGTAATTTGACTAAATGTTTATATTTATGTCAATTCGTTCTACTCGCCTTTTCATAGGCTATCCTAAGTTTGTTTTTCGTTTCAGGAAAATGTTCCCACTTCTCCCACCCCAATAGTTGAACCTCAAATTTACGAGGAGGGTGAGGTTCAGGAACAAAGACTAGAAGAAATGTCCCTTGCCATTGGAATTGCCGTGGCCAATGAAGGGGAGAGGCCAGCTGAAGAACAAGCTTTTGTACAAACTCAAACTTTGTCTAGTTCTTTAGATTTGTACCCACGATCCCTTGTTGAATCACGGGCTGCTCAAGAGGTGACTTTGAGTTACACCCCTCTGGATGACAAGGACATTGAAGAGATGGCTGTGAATGACCCTGTTGGGATGATTATGCTGTTGGTGGCTGGTCTTTTTGACAGTTCAATGGCCAAGTCCCCGCAATCTGTTATGCCTGATTTCCAATTGACTGTTACCCCTGTCGAAGATCGTCTTAAGACCTTGCATTCACTAGCATTTGATAGAAATCTGCTGTGCGAGATGTCTAAAGGTGTTGCGGTGGTTGAGGAAGTTAGGGAAGCCATCAAGTCTGTTGAGATTGTATTTGAGCAACTAACCCCTGAGCAAAAATTAGGTGTGAGAGCTTTCAAAGAGATCTTTAGTAAAGGTTTGATGATTCTTGATCAACAATTGCAAGTTGAGTTGAAGTCCACACATCTTGAAGTCTCCAAAAAAGAATGCACTGCCAAATTGGGGGATGCTAAGGTTCGCTTTTCTACCATCCAAGAGAAAATCACTGTTGCTCAAGCACAGCTAACGAAATTTGATGATGTCGTTGAAGTGCTTGAGCAGAAATTGGGGAAGGCAAAGAAATACAGGGGTTTGTTGGCCACAGCGATGCAGGGATGTACTGATATGAAAAATGAAGAGATAGCCTTGCTGAAGACTCTTGGAGCTGAGAGTAGGGCACTTTTTAATGAGCTGAATAATTTGGATGGGGCGCGCGAAGCGGTTAAAGATAGACTATCAGAGATCACTCAGACATATCAAAGCCTTTGCACCCATCCTCCATTCTAGATCGGGCATTTTTGTCTTTACTTGACTTTTTCTTCATTATCTTAATTTGGTTTAGCTGTATTTTGGAAAACTTGTCTTTACTTAATGTTTTGTTGGCAAACTTGACAATTGCCTCCAATTTCCTTAATTGAATATGCATTATTAGAAAAAAATTGACTACCAGAGTTTCTTCAAGGCTGAAGTATATTGCCTTGATGTAAAGAGCTTGGATAAGGCCTTGGGGAAACTAGGCCCACTCAAGGTTGAACACAAACATGAAAACTCTGACCCAATGTTGGGCTTATGACTCTGAACATCTAGTGTTGCCAAAGTTTGCTATATGTGTGTTAAGCTGGAAGCGTGGGACTTTATGATTATTTACGAAGGATGGTTTGAAATTTGGAAGTAAGTTATGTTGATAGTAATCTTGAAGGTTTTTAATGCTAAGTGAAGTTTTTTTGGTAGTATAGTAGCAATGGCTGCAATAAACAAGAAAAATTTGGCCCAATTTTGGGAATTGAACATTTGGAGTTGCAAAAGTTTGCTTATCTATGTGTTAAGCTTGACCTGTAGTTCCTCCTGGCATAATTAGAGCGCTGTTGAGATGGCAAATTTTTAGATTTGTGATGTATTTCATTCTTAAACTTCGTATTGGTAAAGCTGCAAAGCTAGTAAATTATACTGGGAAAATCATGTGGGGTTTATATTTTTTTTACGATCTAGGGTGTAAATTTTATTAAATGTTTGTTGTGATTTACACATTGTTTTTCCTATTTATGCTATCTTTTGTGCATATATATATACTCGCGTTTAAATATCATTTGGCATTTTAGTTGACAGTCATGTAAATCTTATGATCCAACATCCCATCTTCCGATCCACCTTGGAAACTTGATTTTGACAACCTTGATTTTACTATCAAATTTATCTTATTATCTTCAATTGTTTGATGTAGTTAGAGAGACTTGAGAAGTGAATTTGTCTTTAAGTTTTAAATGGATGTTGAATGCTTTCTTATTTTTTGTGTCTCCCGTGAGGGGTCCCCACTTCCTTTTGGTGTGGGACCAATCTATGTCCGTGCAACCAATGGTGTGACCCTACCGTGGCCACGTGGTGGGTTGTCGAGGTTTGGTCGCAAGATTGGTATGTTGACATGGAGTTTTCATTGCCAGCTGAGCCACCCTCATGCTTTGATGTTTTACTTGATTAATAATGAGAACATTAAGTTGTTATACGAACCTATAATTTATGTTCTCAAAATTGAATTTTTTTTTTTCAATATTTTGATATTTTTTTTGTTTAGTATGAACATAAGCATAATTCTCAGTGTTAAATTACTGAATATCTTATGAAGTATTTATTTATTTTTTGCAGTTAAAAATATATTTAACAAGTGAAATAGTTGAAAGCATGTTGGTGCCGTGAAACTTGGTTTTGAGAATATTGAAGTTTATGGGAATACAAAAGCAAGCATTGAAGTAGCTTTTTTAATAAAGAAAATAGTCAGCCTGTAGTTGAAATATTAGCTGGCATGTATGTTGATACATTGGTTACTGAAAATGCTTCCAAGGTGGGGTAATTGCTAAAATGGATCATAGATGAGGAACCATCAATGCTGAGAAGATCACGTTCAAGTGTGATGCAGATTCCATGTAAATTGGAGCTTGACAAGAAGCTAAGAACTTCACAATGACAAGTTGCGTATGTGGAATCCTTTACGTAATAACAAAATATAGAACACAAATAAGTTGGCTGTGATCTGATGCTCTGCTCGTAATTCTTGCTGGATTATATTCCCCCGAGGAACACAGATGATTCATTTGCATTTATGATATTTAATTATGAAATTTGGTACCCTTGATTTATGTAGTTTCATGGCCTTGTGTGCTTTTCTTTGTTCAAGCACTTTCCTTCTTTGTGTATAGTTTACTATTGTAATTCACATATTATATAGATTTAGGAGTTCTGTAACTAACTTGTAACTTTCTTCTTTTTTTTTTAGATTTTTTAATTAATAAGGAATGTTTATCTTTATAATTGTGTTAAGTAATTGAATATTTTGTAATTATTATTATTATTATTATTATATGCTCGGCCGGGTAGATGTAATATATGGATTTATTCGCACGTTCTCCTTAATCCGTATATTTACTGAAAATTGGTTTCATCTCTGATTTATAATCTTTTACTTTAACAAATTCGCTTAAGTATAAGCTTAAGAAAAAATGTGTGGAGATTAAATCCCACCTCTCTGTATGTTATCTGAGAAGAGAAGATATTCATCCATTCGTATCGCTTCGTTCTCCAAAACCTTCCAATCACTGCTAACCAATTCTTCTTATCTTCTCAGCTTCTCCCTCAAATTTCTGACGTTAGAGTCTCCTCCTTTTCTTATTCTATTTGATTATTTAATTGCTTGTACGCTGTAAGGGGAGTTCACAACAAATTAAACAAAATGGGTGGACATTGTAATCCGTTAGATTTTCTATTCCTCTACCTTGTTAGTGTAATTTCGTGTAAGGAACTGAAGAATGAAAGACTGATAATTTGGATTCTATTTAAAAGAACGTTGAATTTAAACTTGTCAAAAATTACGATAAACTACTTGGTAAATGTTGAAATTTTTTGAAAGTTACAATGTCTACCCACATTTTGTTTAATTTGTTTCAAACTGTACCTACGAGTTATAAGTGATAGTCGATTTGTTATATACTGTCACCATGGTTAATAGTCGATTTGTTATATACCATGTCACCGTGGTAATAAGCAATAATCGATCTGTTATATACTATTTCACCTATTTCAAAAGGGTATTGGTCTGTACTTTGGTTCTTGATTCTCCTTTTCTTTGTTATGATTTGATATTCAATAATAAAAGCACTGCCATGACAAAAAAAAAAGAAAAAGAAAGCATTGTTATATTCCTAACATGTTTTTAAATATTTCCAAGAAAATTTGTATGTCAAATGTTCTTTATAGATAGCCTAAAGAGAACATATTCAATTTGGGGGATTGTTTTCTTGCATGCATTCAGTTAGGCCATGGAAAATCTCAAATGAAATTGCAAAAAGAAAAAGAAAAATCTTGGTACCAAATGATAAAAAAAACCTGTGTATTGATCCACAATATGTTTTTATCATGAAGACATGCACAATGGCACATTGATCAACATAACCAATCCATACCATACACGCACGTGCATGCTAAGTTGATATTTGTTCTTCCCATCTAGGAAAAGAAATTGAGAGAGATTTAGGTCTTACTATGTTATTGATTGTTCAGATGTTCTTGCAAGTGTTGTATTGAAAAATGTTTGTTCTCTTTGCAGGTTGAATGCTAGATATCTTTTTCAGCTCTAATGAAATTATTTCTCCAAGGTTTTAAAGACTTAATGCTTAATTCAAAATGTTTGTAGGGGAAATGACTCTAATAAAATAGACACTGAAGCAACCGTAAAATTCTTACCTACTTTTCTTGATTAGCTAATAACAAAAAAAAATGAAATGAAAAGAACATAGCGAAATTTACGCTGTGATGTTATTGATTAGATATTATGCCTTAGTTACAATGGCTAAATGTTTCTTGGGTCTTGGGTCTTGATTCTTGGTTCTTGTTCTATTTTTTGGTTTTTAGATCTGATTCTAGGGTCCTGGTTCTTGAGTCTTGGTTCTTAGTTCTTGGGTTTCGGTCTTTGTTCTTTCTTGGTTTTTAGTTCTAGATCTTGTTCTTGGTTATTTTCAGTTCATAGTTTCTTTGTTAGTTCCGGTTCTTTATTCTTGGGTCTTGGTTCATTTGCCTTGACCTTGCTTCTGGTTCTTGTTTTCGTTCGTGTTCCTGTTCTTTGTAATTCTTGGTTCTTTGGTCTTGTTCTTTCTTGGACTCTTGGTTCTCCTTTTCTTTGACGGCATTTCATATTCAATAACAACACGATAAAAAACAATTAAATAACACAATCAATGTAGTCTCAAATTTTATTTTTGGTTCCAAACATATTTTTAGATATTTATAAGGAAATTTTTGTATCAACATGTTCTTTATAGATAGCCTAAAGACAACATATTCAATTTGATGATATGTTTTCTTGCATGTATTGGATGAGGCCATGGAAATTTTGAAATGAGATTAAAAAATAATCTTGATAGCAAATGATAAAAATTCAGGCGTTTGTTATTATAATAGTTGTTAAATTTTTATTTTTCAGCTTTGAACAATAAATTTTGTGGTTCATTTATGGATATCGATTGGTGTTCTGATACTTACAAATTTAAACAATTTGCATCTTAAACGTAAACAATCATCCTCCAACCACAATGCTTCTAAAGTCTTTGTATTGCTTCGCTACCGCCATTAGTTCTAGTTCTTTTTCCTTGGTTCTGGTTCTTATTTATTGGTTCTTGCTTCTTGGTTTTGGTTCTTCGATTTTGGTTCTTTCTTGGGTCCGGGGTCTTGGTTCTGGTTCTTTTTTCTAAGTTCTTTGGTCTTGGGTCTTGGCCTTGTTATTGGTTCTTGGTTCTTTGGTCTAGGCCTTGATCTTGGTTCTTGATTCTTTGGTCTTGGCCTTGATCTTGGTTCTTTGATCTCGGCCTTGATCTTGGTTCTTGGTTCTTTGGTCTTGGCCTTGATCTTGGTTCTTTGATCTCGGCCTTGATCTTGGTTCTTGGTTCTTGGCCTTGATCTTGGTTCTTGGTCTTGATTCTTGGGTCTTGCTTCTTAGTTCTGGTTCTTATTTCTTGATTCTTGGTTCGGATTTTTATTAAAGTGACCCTCGTATAAGATCACTGACAATCTGAACATTCTTTCAGTGTCATTGCCTCATTAGAGTCAACGTTTGTCTGTTCATTAAGGTTTGTGATATTTATAGATATTTTTATCTTGTTTTCAAGTAGTAGATCTTTTAAAGAGTTGTTTGCTCTCAAAGACAACTCTGATAGATTTGTTCTTAAAGAAGAAACTGTTACCTAAGAGATTTGAATAGACAAGACTTTCCTCAACCACAATGTCTCTAAAAGTCTTGCATCGCTTTGCTCCCGCCATTAGTACTGGTTCATTTTTCTTTGTTCTTTGGTTCATTTTCTTATTTCTTGGTTCCTGGTACTTGGTCTTGCTTCATGGTTCCGGTTCTTATTTCTTTGTTCTTGGTTCTTGGGTATTCTTGGTACTTGTTCCTGTTCTTGGTTCTTGGGTAATGGTTATCTGTCATTGGATATTCAATAGCAAAAGCACCATATTCCCCTATGCTGTTGGGTCTTGTTCCCGTTTAATGGCTTTACAAATTCCAATTGCTGGAGATCCTCTAGCAATTGTAATTACTTGAGCATGGGAGTGTGAATTTTTAACTCTCTTTCTCACTGTATTATTATTCTTGTTCTTTTTTCTGTTTCTTGTTCTTTGTCTCGACCTTTTTTTTGGGTCATGGAAAGGCTCAAAGCCTACGAGACATCCAAACAAGGCTAAACACCCAAGTCAAAATAAGGGGTTGCTATTTGCACTATTTTTTTTACACCTTATTTTTATTTTTTTGCAAATATTTAAATGAAAAACTACAGAAGATGAAGATGAAGGTAAAGGAAGTTTCAATATAGTAAACACAGATACAGAGAGGTAGGCAGCTAGCAAAGGATGACTCTTTCGGCGGTCTTACTTTGGCACAATTCTTTTGAAAGCAAAGTTTGTTTAATATTGAGAAGTGCCTAATCAGTTTAAGACACTTGCTAGCTGCCATGGCAATGGGTCCACACGCCCAATGATAAGAATGTGCCGTTTGATAAAGTAAAACTTAAGCTTCAACAACTGGGTAGTTAGACGTTGGAGAGCCACCCCATAAAGAAAAGCCTAAAAGGTAGGCTAATGAACCCTCACTCATTCCTTCCTCTTTGTCCCCAAACCCCTATAAAATATAACCACATATTACACAAACTATATCATAATGTCATGTGACATGTCTCATGCTCATTAAAAGTACTTTCTAGCATTGCTTTAAATGGTTAAGGATTGAGGGGAACTTGGGTACTCTTTGCATATGGATATCAAGAAGTATTGGTTTAGTTCAAGCAATTCAAGTATTCAAAGCATCAGGTTAGGTCGTAGCTACTCAAAACCAAACTATCATAGCAACCATGATGGGCCTAAACCGGTGTGGCAAATGCTTTGGAGAAAGCTCAAGAGGGATAAGAAAAAAGGGTTTGGTTCAGTGCAGGGTATTTATGATCCAGAATCATACTCAATGAACTTTGATCATGGAACTGGGTGGCTGGAGCCTGATAATCTCCCTCGTTCCTTCTCATCTCGCTATGCTGATCCATCTAGAATCTTGCCACCAAGACATTTATTGGATTAATGTTTGTAAATGTAAAATCTGTATAGTTTTGTTTTTCTCTTCTAGATTTTGAATTTCATTTGTTTAATTTTTTTTCTGTGTAACTAATGTGCTTCCCACTTTCAACCCATCTTCTTTTCTCTTGAGGTATTGATCAATGATCACATACCCTTTGATTTTCCTTACGGCTTTGGTAATTTAGTTTCTTGCAACTTATGCATGGAGACCGCTTATTTCCTTCCTTTTGAACCAAAGAAGTAGACCACGAATTGTAGATCCTCTGCTTCCTGTTGCTTGAAAATTTCTGGTATGGTATGAAATTTGATTTTAACCTGTGGTTTATATGTTTATTCTTCCCGAAAACTTAATGTTTATTGTTTCGGAGTTTGACCTCGTAATCATAATGAAAGGAAAGCGAAAAGGTAAAATATAGATGAAAACAATATAGAATGATTTAACAACCAACTTCTCAACCTTTCTTTTGGTACAAAAAAGGAGGATGTTGATGGAACTCCTCATATCCATACTCTAATAAATTCTCTAATGGAAGATGCGGATAAAATAAAAACAAAGAATCTGACAGTGCTGAAATGTTCTTTCCTTGCTAGCGTCAAGAAATTAAACGCATTGTTGTGTGAAAATTAAAAGGGGGTATTCAATTCCCAATAATGGTTTAGAATAAATAAAGATAGTTTCATATTTACAAGAGCTTTTTCTTTTATTTTATAGGTTTCAGATCTTCTATAGTTTTGGTGGGAGTTATACCTTGCAGTGTGTTTTTGCTTAAGCAAACTTTTTTTATTTAAGAAAAAATAAGTAATTTTAAGCACAGTAATACGCGCCTAAGCAAACCACAAGAAACATGAAGCATGACTCACTTAAGCGTGTGTATTAGCTTAAGCGATTTATTTTTAACTTAAGTATTTTCAAGCGAAATTAATTAAACTTTAGAAAAAATGGACTAGAAAGACATGTATTTGAGTTTGTCTTTTAGCTTCAGCGAACTAGGAATCACTCGAACTATTAGTGATTTACTTAAGCGGTGCCAAGCGATTTTAATTATTATTAAGTGAATTTGAGGTAAAGAGTAATGATTTCAGAAAAACAAAATGGCTTAAGCGAAAATGAATTGGTTTGAGTCCAAAATTTAACTGATTCGCTTAAGCGATTTCCTGAACTTAAGCGAATATATCAAAAATTGTAAAAATTATGCAGAAACAGACAGTAGGCAACAAAATGGCTTAAACGAAAATAAATTGGTTTAAACGAATGGTAGCAGGGCTTGAGCCCATAATTTAATTCCTCAGCAAATCAAGATCCGCTTAAGCTATTTAATGCGCTTAAACGAAGATATTAGAACTTGCAAAAATTATGCAGAATTGGATAACATGCAAGGGGGCCAAATACACTTGATTACATAAGTTTTTCAACTTACATCTTCCACTAAAAGCTTATAAATACAAATTTAGCTTAGAAATAAAAGAACTTTTGGCAGCTGTGTAATCAAATTTGATCAAGGATTGAAGCATTGAAATCATCAAGTTATCCCTACAAAATTAGTTTAAGCCAATTCATTTTCGCTTAAGCCATTTTATTTGTCCGAAACCATTACTCTCTGCCTCAAATTCGCTTAATTATAATTAAAATTGCTTGTCACAGCTTAGGCGAATCACTAATAGCTTGAGCGATTCTTAACTCGCTAAAACTAAATGACAAACTCAAATATATGCCTTTCTGGTCTATTTTTACTTAAGTTTAATTAATTTTGCTTGAAAAGACTTAAGCTAAAAATGAATCGCTTAAGCTAATACACGTGCTTAAGCGAGTCATGCTTCATGTTTCTTGTGGTTTACTTAGGCATGTTTTCAAGCCTTCTCCCTAGTTGCTTAAGCCAATTACTCCACTTAAGCAAAATTATGACGCAGTTCCTGCCAAAACTGTTGAGGATCCAATTTTTATTTTATACTTACATTTGCTTCTTCATTTTTTTCCCTATTACATCACTCACTTGTCATATTATTTTACTTTTTGGTTTATAATACATTGTTTTTGTTTATTGTTTTCTTATGTACGTTGATCTAAAGCCGTTTGAAAAGTTAATATCACCTAATTATTTCAAATGAAACCTATTTTTTAATGTTTGTATGTTTCAATAAAAAGAGAAATTAATATTGGAATTTTAGTTACAAGGATACCACAAATAGATTCAATTTAGCTCACGCTATTTAAACAAACACCATGTTGAACATCTGCGTCGAACAAGAAAACATACATATATAATATAATTCATTTTTCTCAAATATTGGCAAGACTTGGGAAAAATCTTATTTTAATAATTTTCTTTTTGGCTATCACAATAGCAACAATGTCGGCTGCGGAGGAAGAAGAGTCCTTACTTCAATATGCAATACATATGGGATCTTGTGCGACCAAATTACAAAGCCTGAAAATGACAATTTTTTGTCTAAGTGTGTTAAAGAAATAGGCACCAAACCAAAAGTTGGTGAAAATGGGTCAACCTTGCCATGTTAATATGTCAAAGGCTTTGATTCTTACTCCTGAAACGAGGGATGCTGCTGCAATTAAATTTTTGAGGAAGAGTAAGGAAATATTTGATCATTTTTTTCATCTTAAATAAGAAATCTTTTTGCAAGATTAATTAGACTAAGTAAAAAAACTCATCTAAGCACTAGAATAGGAGGAAATACTGAAGGGATCTTTGTTATGTATTGATCACATGTGCTAAATTATTTAATTTCACGTAGTGTTGATTTTCATTTGGATCTTTGACGGACAACGGCAAAAACATACATTTTTTTTTGTGTAAGGGACCTATACCAACGACAAAATTTTAAAATAATAAAAGAAAGTTAAACAATATTTTTTTATTTTCAATATTTAAAATAAAATTAATAAAATATACGTAAAAGGTTTTAATAGCATACTTTCAATAATAATAAAGAGTTTATTATAAAAAATTATAGAAAAGGATAAAAAGTTAAAATTATTTAAAAATAAAAAAAATAATAGCTTGCAATGGACGCGAGTTCCACGAGTTGTCTGTATATATCGCAGTGGCAGTCATTTCTCTTATCCCCAACCAGCAACCACAACTCACTCTACTGTCGTTTGGGTCAACTTCTGTCGGTTTAGAGATGCCGAGTCTGCAAGAGAAGGCTTCTGAGTGGAGCGGGGTTGCCGCCGCCGACGCTTCCGCCATAGACAACGCCGATCTCTTCAACAAACTCGGCCTCCAAACCTTCATTAATCTCTCCACTAATTTTTACAACAGGTCGCTTTCTTTTACAATCCTATCAACGTTCCTTTCTATTGATCTTCAAATTATTTTATCTTATGATTAATTCTGTTTCATTTTTGTTTTTTAAATTATTTTTGGGGTGGCAGAGTGTACGATGACGAGGAAGAATGGTTTCGTTTAATATTTGCCAATTCTGAGAAAGAAAACGCCATTCAAAACCAATACCAGTTCTTCGTGCAAAGAATGGGTGGTCCTCCTCTATATTCTCAGAGAAGAGGTGCCGTTTTCTTCAATTTACTTTTAGAGGAATGCCAGAACACATTCTCTTTTAACATTTTTTTTTTTTCTGTTTTAGTTTTTAATTTTAAAAATTATATTTTAAAAAACTATTTTTAAGAAGAAAATGAAAATTAAACTTATGTTCATAAATAAATTTTATTTTATTTTACTTTTAGAAAGAATAAATATTTTTAAAAATAAAAAATAAACATACTCTAAATTTTTGTAATTTTTCAGTAAATCTTGACTAGCAGCAAATGTTATAAAAAGTGTGGTAGAGAATTTCTTGCCAATATTTCTTTATATCTTAACATAAGATATGTTAGTTCATTTATCTCATGAATAATTAAAGTGCACATTTGAGTGAGTGCTAATTTGACTGAGGAATATTGTTTTTTAGAGCCAAAAGTAGATTGTTAGAAAGTAAAATTGAATGCTATATACATTCAAGACTAAAAGAATTTTGAGATTGGGGAAGAATCTTCGAATCAGCTAGTAACTTTGAAGTTTGAGCACTGAACCTTGTATTTTCTTGATTTTTGACAGGGCATCCTGCTCTAATTGCTCGACATCGACCATTTCCGGTGACGCATCAAGCTGCAGAGAGATGGTTACATCACATGCAACAAGCATTGGACAGTACCCCAGATATAGATGATGACTCTAAGACCAAAATGGTGAACTTTTTCAGGTTGATTTTACTGCTCCAAAGTGCCTCTTCCTGGCAAATAGTTTATCCATGATAACATCCATGTTACTCTTGTTTTTCAGGCACACTGCATATTTTTTGGTGGCTGGAGATGAGCTAAAGAATCAAAACCAACCAACTGGATGCAAACACTGCAGCCACCACCACCACAAGTGATGATTCATGATTTATAAAACTCTTTTAATTTTCATTTTGTCATTGCCTAAATATCCTTCACTCCTTGATCATTCGTAAAACTTTGCATCAAAGAAATTTGTATTGTCTTAAGTATTGGGGAGATGAAAAAGGATGTCACATCACACGCAGATGCTAACTTTGAAGCCAGAAAATTCTGCTGTTAAGACGAGGTTGATGATTGTAAGCTTAATCGATTAAAGAGAATTGAAATAGGTTAAACATAACATGAAAAATTACTCCCAAATTTAAAAAAGAAAAGGCTTATTATATAGGCTTCGAGATGGTGCTTGAGGGAGCTTAAGTAAATAATTTGACTTCTGCAAGACTTTTCATTTTATTTTAATAAGCTTTTTTTTTTCTGAGTTTATCAAAATAAGTTTTTGTTAGTATATGCCATTAAATTTTATTGTATAAATTTCTTATGTATTTAGAACTTGTTTCATAAGTACTGTACTTAGGTGTTATATTTTTCCGGTCGCGAAGTCTTTTTTTTTTTTTTTGGGTCTAAATTAAGCTTGTTACCTTTGTATTTGGTCAATAATTAATATATCCTTAAACAAAGAAATGTGGGCCTCAAAATGAGTAGTGAATGAAAAGGGCCATATGTGGTTTTTATATATAGCATATAGAGGCATATTAAAAGCTACCTAACATAGGTAAATAACTATTATTCTAAAACTATTTATTCATATATATTATGAATTTAATTTAACATTTATTTCAACAATTTTTTGGATGAAGATTGAATGCCAATATTTTTAATACTGAAAATGTTTTACTTATAAATAATAGGCTTAGATATGGATTTTTTTTTATTAGTTATAAATGATATTTTTTGAACCTTATAATCTAATGAATTACATTTTTTTTAACATACATTAATATGAAAGATTAAATTGACTTTTTCTTTCATATATTTTTATTAGTGACTAGCTTTTGTGTCTTTTAAATACAACATTTATGTTTATCACCTACATGTAACTTCCTCTCAAATAAAGGATTTTAGAGGAATTTTATTTTCTAGACAGACTTTAGCGATTTTTTTCAATCATCTATATGGGTGATTAAGTTTGAAAAATCTATTATGACTAAGGTAAGTTAGTTTTTCTCCATGTTCAACAGTTGGTGTTAGGAAGTATTCTCGTCACATATAGGGCATGCACTATATTCTTTAACCTTGTACCATGCAAGTTTCCTACACTAAAGTCATTTATAATACAAAGTATCATAATACACAACTTAAAATATTTATTGTGATACTCATCAAAGACATCAACACCTTTTCACAATATGTGTTTTTAAGTCTTTAATAAAGGGTTTTTAAGATAAATGTCAGTTCTTGTCTGACATTATAAATTACCAATAAAACAAGGCATGAAAGTTATTATAAGGATTCAGTTCATCCGTAGTAAGTCTAAGCTAATAGTTTTTTGGCTCATTGTCAAATGCTAGAAATAATTCACCAATTTTCTTTCATTCTAGAGAATTAACTGGATAATTTAACTTTTCATCATTTCATCTTTCATTTGCATGTTATCTAATGTTTTTTTGCATCATTTGCATTAATAAACATTCACTTAAACCATACATTTTTGGAAGATACTATAAAACTTTTGCAGGTAGGCTGTTGCAATTACCATCCTTTGTTTTGTAACGTGATACACTACAAATAGGGCACCTATGCAACCTTCTATACTTTTGCCTATACAAAATGCAACTATTTGGATTAGTGTGTATTTTCTTACACTCCATACCATTAGACACTGTATTATAATTTAGTAGTGTTTTATCTTCTAAAAGCATGCCTTTTAATAAATAAAGTAATTCAGTAAAATTTTTATCACTTTTTCTATTTTTTACCTTTAAGTCAACTAATTTTAACACTATTAACAATCACATACTTATTTGCATAAGTAATTGAATTATACATGTGTTATCTAAAATGACTATTTCCCAATATCATGAATCATATCCCCTGGCCAATTGTTTATCTCTAAATCAAACTCACTTGTTTGCATAACGTTTGACATATTTACTAATTCATTATGTCATGTCCATCTTGTATAATTGTTGCAACATTCATCAGAAGTACATTTTTTTATTTCCTTTACACTTTACTTCCTTTCATTCAAACAATCTACATAAAGATAATAAAACTTTTCTTTATTATTAGAAATACTATAGGTACCAAATTCTAAAAAAATTTCCACTTCATTCTCATACTCATTACATATGTGTCATTTATCTAACTACAATACATAACTACATAAATAGGAGAATTGAACACCCCCCCCCCCCCCCCAAAAAAAAAAAAGAGGCTATTATCCAACTACGATCTATGACTCATAGTTTTCCTATTATATGGAATGGTCCTATCCCATTTAGGAGTAAACTTTTTTATCAAACAATTTCCAGTTGTTTTATTGAATCTTGCATATTACATTTTATAAAATTTTGACAATATTTTTCATCTTCAATTACACAACTTGAATATCGTATCATCTACCACAACCAATAATACACTCAAAGATAATAAAAAATGTAAGGAACCAAACTTGATAATTGTTTAATGACCTAAACATTCCAACATAGACAATTCAATATTCATTACAACACCTAATACCAAGAGCTATTGTATTAAATCTTGAATGGAAAACTTAGACTTCATCCACATGTTAAGGAACCTTACCATGTATACTATTATATATCGATGTATATTCATGTAACATTTAAATTAAACAAATTAAAATCAGAAAGCAAGAACACAACACAATTGGGTCAGTTTAGGTTAGGAGCACAAAAAGCAAAGGGTCACAAATCTCCTTGAAGCTAAGTCTTGCAAGGTTGAGACACGAAACCAAGCAAATATGGTTCTTCTAAATTAGCACATTAATGTTGTTTCCTAGCCAAAAACATTACCCTAGGACATATATTGAATTAGTGGAATCAACTCTCAAATAATACATTGAAAGGTGGGCGCAACAGCGAGGAAAAATCATAAATATTAGAAGCATGAATTGAGCAAAAATGATTTGAAATTCAACATTTGTGTACGCAAGAATCTAGTACAAAGTCTTGTTAATAGAGCTCATTTTTACCTTTTATCATTTTCTTCACAAAAACCAAATCCAACTACACTTTGAACTATATGCAGTGAAGTTGAAGTACGAAATGAAAAATTAAAATTACAAGAAGCAAATGAAGGTGACAAAGATAAAATACTTATGCGATAGGTGTGTTATATTTTAGGGCGATGAACCCAGCTGAAAAGACCAAAAAAAAGTTACAAACTATATATTTACACCGATTTCAGTGGAGAACCGATCTAACAACTACTTTTTAATTTGATTATATTTTTAGTCGATCTAAAAAGTTATTTTTTACATTAATTAGTAAATCTATTTGTTAACTTTTTTTAAAAAATATCACTCCTTATGATTGATTTAAAATCTCATTATAAAATTTCATATAAGCTCTATAAATAAGATCCTATAATTAAAAGAATTATCCTATATATGATGCTGTTGATTTACCATGCATGTGTTCTCCATTAGATAAAAACAACGAGAAAGATAGGAAAGGAGCCATAGGAAAGGGCAAAGAGATTTCAATCCATATATAGTGTATCCTTTGTGGAAACAATAATTATCATACAGCAATAATCCTTATGTCAATTTTCTAGCATTTTAACTATATAATAACATCAATTATGTACTTCAAATCAGCGTATTAATCAATAGTTAGTTTAATCTCAATGTGTCAACTATGAAGACCAACCCGTTTCGCAGCCTTATATTTTATTATTTTTAAAATTTGAAGTGCTTGACAAGTAGCATAACAAGCACGACTTGCTAGCGATTTAGGGTTAGGGTTCTTCGTGACAAATGCACGCCAACTGCTTCACCATTAAAATCAACGAAGTCGTTGCAATATATCAAATCTAAATTTAGGTGATATAGACGGAAATATATTAAAAGACACCTCAGTTATTGTGTCAATTACAAAATTAACTAGTCTTGACATTTTATTCAATGTCTAAAGGAAAAATATAACTTCGATTCATTTTAATAACTGATTTCTATTCTTCAATCTATTAAACTTGTCACTGTTTCAGAGCTAGATGGCACCATGTAATTCATTCATATTGTAAATGATTATTTTATATAACTAGTAGGGATAATCTTTAAATAAATAAAATAACATCCTAATCTATGATTTGTGATTAAGTCTTATTATACAATAACATGATTTATTTAATAGGCTGCAAATCCATGCACTAGTTGACAAAAAAACTATAACATGATTTATTTGATTTTAAAAAAGAAAAACCTAGTATGTTAATCTTAAAATTAATAACTAATCCTAATCTTTGGTTTGTAAATTTGGACTAGCCAGTCTGGTCCAATGTGGGTACTGGGGCTTGCGTGGACCAAGCTAAAATGCCCACAATTATTTAAGCTTCTAAAAAGCTTCATTTTTTGTATATATATAATTTGTATTTTTAAAAATACTTTTATTTACAATTTAGATTATCCTTCTTTTTATTGATCATTCACATTTTAAGTACTTTTCTTATTTTTTAATCTCTTTGTTCTTCATCGTTGATTAACATTATCATTGACATCTTCTTCTCGGTTTCTCCTCACCACTCTACCAACATTTTTATACAATCGTTCAATCGAGATTAATTATTTATCAGATTCTTATGATTTCTCATTATCTCTCATAAAACAAAAAGTTAACTTTAAATAAATATGAGTCTCACTGTCTACAACTTTCAGAAATTTAATTTTAGAAGTAAACTTTTCAAAAATTAATTTATAAAAGAATGTTTAATAGGTTTCCGAAAAGTAAATTCTAAAATTAGAAACATACGATGCTTTTAGAAGTTAAATTATGGAATATTTTAAACCAAACTTCTAAAATTTAATTTTCAGAAGTTAGTTTTTGGAATGTTTACTTCCGGGATTAAATTTCCTGAAACCACTGCTACTTTCAACTCTTCAATATGTAGAACCAAAATATCAAATACAGTACATCATAACAATAGTGAGCTAATATAAATACCCAATTACAGATAGCCTATTTATTTCCTTAATTATTCTTTCACTCGTTCCAATATTTAAATTGATGACTTCAATCTACCCCCTTAACCACCAGTAAGGGGATATGGAATGAAGGAATTAGACCTGTATACAAAAGCTAGAGTACCAAAAAAACCA